GCTCACATGGTCTGTAGTCCCTCCCACAACCTCTAACAACATAGAGTTAAGAGGAACAAACTGCATACCAATATATACATACGATATAAACTATTTTGATTGATTGATTGATTGGTATAGAAAGGATAATAATATCAAGGAGAGTTTTGACGGTGTGGTGAATGAATTAGAACCAGACATCCTGAGGAGTGAGGTTGAATGGGCCTTAAGAAGCATTGCTAACAACAAGGCAGCAGGAGACGACGGGATCCCAGCTGAACTGTTAAAATCTTAAAAGATGATGCTGTCAAGGTGATGCATGCCATTTGCCAGCAAATATGGAAAACACAAGATGGCCATCAGACTGGAAAAAATCAACTTATATCCCATACCAAAAAAGGGAAATGCGAAAGACTGCTCAAACTTCCGTACAGTGGCCCTTATTTCTCATGCCAGTAAGGTAATGCTCAAGATCCTGCAAGGAAGACTCCAGCAATACATGGAGCGAGAGTTGCCAGATGTTCAAGCTGGGTTTAGAAAAGGCAGAGGAACGAGAGACCAGATTGCCAATATCCGCTGGATAATGGAGAAAGGCAGGGAATTTCAGAAAAACATCTACTTCTGCTTCATTGACTATTCTAAAGCCTTTGACTGTGTGGATCATAATAAATTGTGGCAAGTTCTTGGTGGGATGGGCATACCAAGCCACCTTGTCTCTCTCCTGAGGAATCTGTACAAGGACCAAGTAGCAACAGTAAGAACTGACCACGGAACAACAGACTGGTTCAAGATTGGGAAAGGCGTACGGCAAGGCTGCATACTCTCACCCAACCTTTTTAACTTGTATGCAGAACACATCATGCGATGTGCGGGGCTTGATGAATGCAAAGCTGGGGTGAAAATTGCTGGAAGAAACATTAACAACCTCAGATATGCAGATGACACCACTCTGATGGCCGAAAGCGAGGAGGAGCTGAGGAGCCTTCTAATCAAGGTGAAAGAAGAAAGCGCAAAAGCCGGGTTGCAGCTAAACATAAAAAAAACCAAGATTATGGCAACAAGAATGATTGAAACTGAGAAATAGGGGGAGAAAATGTGAAGGCCGTGACAGACTTTGTATTTCTAGGTGCAAAGATTACTGCAGATGCAGACTGTGGCCAGGAAATGAGAAGATGCTTACTTCTTGGGAGGAGGGCAATGTCCAGTCTCGATAAAATAGTAAAGAGTAGAGACATCAGACTGGCAACAAAGATCCGCCTAGTCAAAGCCATGGTATTCCCTGTAGTAACCTACGAATGTGAGAGCTGGACCTTAGGGAAGGCTGAGCGAAGGAAGATCGATGCTTTGGAACTGTGGTGCTGGAGGAAAGTTCTGAGAGTGCCTTGGACTGCGAGAAGATCCAACCAGTCCATCCTCCAGGAAATAAAGCCCGACTGCTCATTGGAGGGAAGGATACTAGAGACAAAGTTGAAGTACTTTGGCCACATCATGAGGAGACAGCAAAGTCTAGAGAAGACAATTATGCTGGGGAAAGTGGAAGGAAAAAGGAAGAGGGGCTGACCAAGGGCAAGATGGATGGATGACACCCTTGAAGTGACTGAATTGACCTTGAAGGAGCTGGGGATGGTGATGGCCAACAGGGAGCTCTGGCATGGGATGCCATGAGGTCATGAAGAGTCAGAAACGACTGAACGAACAACAACAAGCCGCCTTGCATCCCCTTTGGGGTATAGAAGGGCGGGATATAAATATCGTAAATAAATAAATAATAAGTGACTAGTATAGTCACCTATGGATGTGAAAGCTGGACCTTAGGGAAGGCTGAGTGAAGGAAGATAGATGATTTTGAACTGTGGTGTTGGAGGAAAGTTCTGAGAGTGCTTTGGACTGCGAGAAGATCCAACCAGTCCATACTCCAGGAAATAAAGCCCGACTGCTCATTGGAGGGAAGGATAGTAGAGGCCAAGATGAAGTACTTTGGCCACATCATGAGGAGAAAGGAAAGCTTAGAGAAGACAATCATGCTGGGGAAAATGGAAGGAAAAAGGAAGAGGGGCCGACCAAGGGCAAGATGGATGGATGACATCCTTGAAGGGACTCAATTGACCCTGAAGGAGCTGGGGGTGGTGACGGTCGACAAGGAGCTCTGGTGTGGGCTGGTCCATGAGGTCACGAAGAGTCGGAAATGACTGAACGAATGAACAACAACATAGGATACTTGTAGAAGGTTGCTATTTCCAACAAATGTGAATGCTTGCTTACAACAGGTGAGGCAAACAGCAGCTGCCATCAGAATCCCTTACTGTGCTGATGTGAACAATAAAGTCCAACCTATGAAACTATATGCTATGGTTTGTGTTAACTCCTTAAAAACCAATATATGCTGCAATAGACAGCAGGAATACCCTAAAAGTCCTTCCAGGTTATCAAACCACATTATCCCCTTGGAACTGGCAAAACCATCACTTGAGTCAGGCATGTAGCCCGGGGGTGGGGGCTTGAGGGGCTTCAGCCCCCCCTCCCGAAATTCTCATGGTGGTCTGTGAGAAGGCCTTACTGGTGCATTATTTAAACTGTTATGTTTATTCATATCATGATCTGATCACCATACTCAATATATCCCATATGCATGGGTATTGGGTAACGATACAAAAGGTTTGCTAGGGTAGACCCCCTTTCACTCAGACTCAGCCTCCCCGAAAACCCCCCCCCCCCCCCCCCCCGCTCCGAATCAAAATCCTGGCCACGAGCCTGTCTTGAGTATTTCCCACTTTAATAAACCTTGTGAAATTTATGGGATCTCCATAAGTACAGAGTTATGGCTATTATATTTACTTATAGCCCACTTTAATGGCGCTCCATGCAGCCATGCCGGCCACATGACCTTGGAGGTGTCTAGGGACAATGCCAGCTCTTTGGCTTAGAAAGGGAGATGAGCACCACACCCCAGAGTCAGACACAATTGGACTTAATGTCATGGGAAATTTTTTACTTTCCTTTACCTAGCCCACTTTATCTAAACAGAGAGACCGAGGCCCCTTCTACACTGCCATATAATACTGATTATCAAAGCAGATAATCCAGGTTACCTGCTTTGAACTGGGTTATATGAGTCTACACTACGCATGGGCAGACTTGGGCCCTCCAGGTGTTTTGGACTTCAACTCCCACAATTCCAAAACAGCTGGAGGCTTCAAGTTTGCCCTTGGCTGGTCTACACTGCCATATAATCCAATTGAAAATATATAATCTGGATTTTATATGGCAGTGTAGAAGGGGAGAGAAGCAACTTGATGGAATGTTAAAACACACCCCTATTCTAAACAGACTCAAAATAATTTACAACAAATGGTAAAGCTGCAGTAACTGAAATTAAAAATCACTTTCCCAAAAGGCCATGTTGTCCCTTAAACCAAGAGTAGAATAAAGTAATTAACTATATATACAGATTTTTCACATTCATAGTAAAAGCTCAGGTCATGCCCATGAAAGCTGCTTAGGAGAACATATTAGTATTAATAGTTGTTGATATTATTGTTGTTGTTGTTGTTATAGCACCATCCTAGGCAAGTTTGAGTTTTTGAATTGATTCTTAATGTGAGGGCCCTTCCACACAACCCTATATTCCAGAATATCAAGGTAGAAAATCCCACATTGGGTTGTTGTAGGTTTTTGGCCATGTTCTAAAGGCACGTTCTCCTGACGTTTCGCCTGCATCTATGGCACGCATCCTCAGAGGTGGTGAGGTCTGTTGGAACTAGGAAAAGGGGTTTATATATCTGTGGAATGACCAGGGTGGGACAAAGGACTCTTGTCTTTTGGAGCTAGGTGTGAATGTTTCAACTGATCACCTTGATTAGCATTTGATTGCCTGGCAGTGCCTGGGGCAATCATTTGTTGAGAGGTGATTAGATGTGCCTGTTTGTTTCCCCTCTGTTGTTTTGCTGTTGTAATTTTTGAGTTTTTTTAATACTGGTAGCCAGATTTTGTTCATTTTCATGGTCTCCTCCTTTCTGTTGAAATTACCCACATGCTTGTGGATTTCAATGGCTTCTCTGTGTAGTCTGACATGGTGGTTGTTGGTGTGGTCCAGCATTCCTGTGTTCTCAAATAATATGCTGTGTCCAGGTTGGTTCATCAGGTGTTCTGCTATGGCTGACTTCTCTGGTTGGAGTAGTCTGCAGTGCCTTTCATGTTCCTTGATGCATGTCTGGGCCATGCTGCGTTTGGTGGTCCCTATGTAGACTTGTCCACAGCTGCATGGTACACGGTAGACTCCGGCAGAGGTGAGAGGATCCCTCTTGTCCTTTGCTGAACGTAGCATTTGTTGGATTTTCTCAAAAATTACCGCAGCAAAACAACAGAGGGGAAACAAACAGGCACATAAAATCACTCTTAACAAAAGATTCCCCCCAGGCCCTTCCAAGCCATTGAATGCTAATCAAGGTGATCAGCCGAAACATTCACACCTAGCTCCAGCAGACAAGAGTCCTTCGTCTCACCCTGGTCATTCCACAGATATATAAACCCATTTTTCCTACTTCCAACAGACCTCACTACCTCTGAGGATGCTTGCCATAGATGCAGGCGAAACATCAGGAGAAAAATTGCCTACAGAACATGGCCATATAGCCCGGAAAAACCTACAAGAACCCAAAGTTGAAGTACTTTGGCCACATCATGAGGAGACCGCAAAGCCTAGAGAAGACAATTATGCTGGGGAAAGTGGAAGGCAAAAGGAAGAGGGGCCAACCAAGGGCAAGATGGATGGATGGCATCCTTGAAGCGACTGGACTGACCTTGAAGGAGCTGGGGGTGGTGACGGCCGACAGGGAGCTCTGGCGTGGGCTGGTCCATGAGGTCACAAAGAGTCGGAGGCGACTGAACGAATGAACAACAACAACAACATTCTGGGATGTAGGGCTGTGTGGAAGGGCCCTGTGCTAACTTTCCAATTTGGGGCAAGAGACAAAGTGATCCCCTATCTCATTTTGGCCTGTTGTTTACCTAGAAGTCCTTACCTGGGCAGAGAAAGAGATTTCCCAGCCATATCTTCTAGGAAAAACATTTGCAACCCGTTCACGTGCAATTCTGTGGCTAAGCTCCTCCTACAGAGTTCTGGGAGTTGTAGTTCAGGGAGGAGGAGGAGGAGGAGGAGCGCTCCGGTTGAGCATTCCAAAGGGCCCGCCCTGAACTATAAGCCCCAGAATTCAACAGGGTAGCTTCCAATGGCGGGAAAAGGGGTTCTCCATCCGGATGAAGTCCCGCCTCTTAATGTGAGACTCAGGAGGGAAGGGAAAAGGAAAGGAAACCAGGCTTTCCAAATTCCTCCCCAATTCATGAGCCTAGAGCAGGCGTGGGCAAACTTTGACCCTCCAGGTGGTTTGGACTCCAACTCCCACAATTCCTAACAGCCTACCGGCTGTTAGGAATTATGGGAGTTGGAGTCCAAAACACCTGGAGGGCCAAAGTTTGCCCATGCCTGGCCTAAGAGAATGTGTCCTGGCCATAATGATCTCTTCAAGGCAGGAAGTTAATGCCTTGAGCTCCCTTTTGTGCTTTGATGGGCAGAAATCAGCATCTCAAAAGCTTTTCACACTTTGCAAAGCAGCCCTGCTCTCTTTCTCCATAGATCTTGACTGAACCTAAACCCAAAGATTTTGCCATACATCCCTTTGATTATTTTTCTCCTTTTCCTTTGCCATGCCTTTCCTTTTATTTATATTACCTTTCTTAAAATCATAGGACAATAAGAGTTGGAAGAGATCACATGGGAAGTCTGATCTGGCCACAATGGTCCATGCTCTTGTTACATCCCGTATAGACTACTGCAACACACTCTACATGGGGTTGCCCTCGAAGACTGTTCGGAAACTTCAACTGGTCCAGCGAGCGGCAGCCAGATTGCTCACCGGAGCAACACAGGGAGCACACCACCCCCCTGTTGTGCCAGCTCCACTGGCTGCCGGTTCAGTTCCGAGCACAATTCAAGGTGCTGGTTTTGACCTACAAAACCCTGTACGGTTCCGGTCCAGTGTACCTGTCCGAACGTATCTCCCTCTACGTCCCACCCCGGAGTTTGAGATCATCTGGGGAGACCCTGCTCTCGACCCCACCACTGTCACAAGTGAGGCTGGTGGGGACGAGGAGCAGGGCTTTCTCAGTGGTGGCCCCTCACCTGTGGAACTTACTCCCGGGGGAAATTAGGGCGTCATCATCCCTCCTCTCCTTCAGGAGGAAGGTAAAGACGTGGGTGTGGGACCAGGCCTTTGGGCAATCTGACAATTAGAGAAGATAATCAGACGAGTATGACCAGGATTGACAATGTGGAATTGAAAATGGAACAATGAGATAGCGAACACTGACCATTTATGAGGAGGAATTGGGTTTGTATTGGTTTTATTTATTTTATTGGTTTTATTGGTTTTTATAGTTGTAATGTAGGAATTGTTGTTTAACTGTGAATTGATGCTATGTCTGTTTTTGACTGTTATGTGATGTGGGCATCGAATTGTGCCTTTGCTTTGTAAGCCGCCCTGAGTCCCCTTCGGGGTGAGAAGGGCGGGGTAGAAGAAACCGAAATAATAAATAAATAAATAAATAAATGGGCCATCTAGTCTTGATATCGAGCTCTTTTAGGGGGCCTCTCCAGGGAGGAGAGCCCAAGGACCGCATCAATGAGTCCTGTATACCTTGGTGAGCTTTCTGGAGGCCAATCCAAGAGCGCAGAAATATTTAAAAGAATTAATAAGCTCATCAGAGGCGGAAGAAGTCCAGCGATCGAGGTTTATTTGCGATTCAGCTGAAAAGGATGCATTACAGGAATCATTCCACTGCAAGCATACTGTACAAGAATTTCCAGGCATTTTTATACAGTGTGAAACAAAGGAAAAGCAGTTTGAAAATCCCGCCCACCCCCCTGTCAGCCGGCTTCTTGTCCTGATTGGCTGTCCCTGGAACAGCTGGGAGGAGGCCGGGCCGTATGTCCCGCCTTCCCTCCAATCGCCGGGCGCTGTTGTCTCCAGGGGGCCAATCGGAGCCTTTCTAGCGCTTCTGAGGATGGTCCAATCAGCGACCAGGAGGTGGGACCTGGTTTGACAGCTCATAGGGGGCGGAGTGCCTGGGAGGTGTCCGCCAGCCGATTGAGAACTTTTGTTCTAAGCTGTGGGGTGGCAGACGGAAGAAACAAAGGATTTCCTGATTTCTGATTACAGATGTGTATAGGCATGAAAAGGGGCTATTGGTGGTATTCGGATCTCAAACTCTGTGGACAAGGGGACCCTTAATCACAAAGGAGCTTACACAAATACCATGGGTTGGGTTAATCAATCCTTCTTTCCAGGTTTCGGTTGACTTATCTCTGGCCCATTGTCTGAACTCTGAAAATGTGCCCGGAGATAGGATCAACCCCGGCCCATGCAAAATGTTAATATGAATGGATTTACTTTTGAGGAAATGAGGTTTCCTCCTGACAATAACCTCAGGTCACATTCTTTTCTGGGGCAAGGTTCAGAGGGAGGAAAGGTGGGAGGGGGAGAGAGTCAGGGTGCATCTTATGTGATAGATATCAATTATAAACATTTTCTCATGCTTCATACATTTCATACATTTCATTTCTGCCAGAATTATGATCTCCTTGGCGAAGGTGCACACGCAGGCGGAGGCTGTTCCTGCCCAGGGGCCTGGTTCGGAGTCCGTGGAGAAGGTCCAAGACGATGGGGCATCAAGTCAATAAGTAAAGGCAAAAGAATCTGTAAGGGGACTTCCAGGCGGAGGGGTGTGGGGCAATGTCCTTCGGAAAACTACATTTCCCTGATCAAGGGCCAGGGTCCAGTGCACAAGCCAGAGAATTCACAAAGAAGAAACAGGAACCCAGTTATGTGTGCTGGGTCAGGAAGCAACAGAATCCATTGTCCAGCCCTTGGCGAACTACAAATACTTGGGGGAAAAAGATGCTCCGCATCAATTCCTCCCTTCGAGGCTGAAAAATGGCCACGCTCATTTTCCCAAGCCTCGACAATTCTCTAGCACCCGGGGCCTCTTTCTAGACTGATTAGATTGTATTCTGTTGATTATTTTGGGGCCCAACTTAAGCAGCAACAGCAGGACCCAGCAGGGTGGGAGAGACCAGCGGCAGTGTGTCCTTTGGGTTGGAGAAAGGAAAAAAGACTGAAGTAAGAAGGTGAAGACGGTGGAGGCAGGGGATGATGGAGTCTGTGATGGCAGTCAGCATGGAGCACTCAGTGGTCCCGAGTGAGTCCCCAATGGAGAAGGATGGCACATGGTGGAATTCTCCCATCTGGCAGTGGTCCTCAGGCCTCCTGGGGGCGCTGGCTCCTCCCTTGGTACTGAAACAAGGAGAGCAGCCGAAGAAGAAGAAGATGGGGCACAGCCTTGCTACTCCTTCTGACGTGGCGCCTCCTGGTGACCGCAGACAGGTCCGGCTCTCCATCATCACAGAGACTCAGGGGTAGTGTCTAGGACAGTCAGAAAGAAGGTTTACAGCCCCCCCCCACCCCCCCTTTCCCAGCCCAAGGGTAGTTAGTAGGGAAACAAAGGGAAAACTTTCATACCTAGTGAGGACTTCAGTGGTCTCCTTTGGGCCACTCCTCTGCACAGCTTCTGGAACGGGCAGGGCCTCCTTCCTTCATGGCAGTTGCTGTGGGATCCTGGTTGCTCCTCCTGCGATGGCATTCCCCCGTGGGGGCTCAGATCAGCCTCTAGGGGGGGGCTGTCTCTTCTGGGCGGCATGGGGTCTGGTCCCGCTCTCCTAGGATCTTCCTGTGCCATCTGGGTTCCACACAGGAAAGTTCACAGACCTCCCATCGTCCACCTCACCCAGGTAGTTGTCCTCAGCGGCAGGAGTGGATTATGGGTCCCACAGTTCGATCTGATGACTGGCGGTCTCTTCACTGTGCAGAGGGGACCCCTGGACCTCGACGTCCTCCTCATATTTAAGGCAGTTAATGGGATAATTTAGACATACACATACATGCGCTCAGGGAAAGGGGAGGGAGGAAGGGCCAGGAAGGAAAAAAGCATCAGAGGGACTGTGTATGTGAGAGAGAGACTTGACCATAGATGTGGGTGAAATGTCAGGAGGGAATGCTTCTGGAACATCTCTTCCTTGGGGTTGAGAAGAAGGAGGTAAGAGGGAGCAGCAGGATTTCTCTGGGAGATAGAGGAAAGAATTCACAAAACACTGGCTTCTTAGAAGATGGAAGGGGAGGGAGAAGAGAGAGAGAGAGAGAGTGGGTTTCAGAGACATTTCACAAGCACATGGAACTCTTTGGCGAGGTCTGGTTCTTTAGAGAGAAAAGGGGAAAGCAGGGAGAGAGAGAGAGAGAGAGAGAGAGAGAGAACAACTTGGAGGCATTGATCACCCCCCCCCCTTCTTAGCAAAAAGGAAACAGAAATAAGGAAAAAAGGCCCCTTTTACACCTCTCTTGTCTGCAAGAGGAGAAAGGGAGGAGGGGTTGAAAGCAAAAAGAAGAGGGGAGGTTGGGGAGTAAAGAGAATTCAAAGGAAAAGGCAGGGACATTGGTGACTGCCTCTGAAAAATGGGCTTTGTAGTTGCGCAGAAGAGAAGGGGAGAAGGAGAGAGCTCTTGGGTCAGGGAAAAGCAGGGGAGAGAGAGAGAGAGAGAGAGAGAGAGACTCTTGCAAGGCAGCTGAGTCACACCAGTGGCAGGGTCTCTCCTGGTGGGGAGAAGCACAGGGCACTGAAGACTCAGCTTTAGAACGAAGGGGATTTGTAGTAGCTTGGTGGAGAAGGGAATGAGCAATGCCTCCCTTTTCCATCTGAAGGAAGGAAAAAGGTGGCACAGGAGAAAGCAGGAGAGGAGGGGAGCGAAGAATTTCCCTGATCATTTCCTCAAGGGGCAGAAAAAAAGCAAAACAGAGGGGGCATATAAATGCAGACATATCATAAATAGGGAATAGGGAAATGGAGGGGTTGGGAAGGGAAGGAAGGAGTCAGGGAGATTGGGTAAAGGGGAATGGGAGTGGGATGGCAGGGGAACAAGCAATTTCTTCAAAGGGGAGAATTCCTCCCTAGGGGGAGGTATAAGGTCTGGAGGGGGGCTTCTGGGAGAAGGGGGGACCCGTGACCTTTCTCCTGCATGGTAAAGATTGGGCACAGTCTCCTCCCTCCACCCCCATCCGGCATAGGGCAAAAAAGCAAGAAGCCAGGCGGGC